ATATATATATAGACATATATTTTTTTGTTCTTGCTTTGTGCAAATATATTTATTTTTCCTTAGATGTCTAGAGCTAAAAAGGTTGCAAATAAGGGTGCATCTTCCTCACGAAGTGCACCTCAATCTGTGGTTACTGAGCGTAACCTAGACCTTAGTCCCTCCATCAAATCCATTGGACCTAGACCTTAGTCCCTCCATCCAATCCATTGGACTTATTCAAGTCCAACACCTTCTTAGGGACAGAAACCTCTTACCTTTAGCTGGTATCTATGGAAAATATAATGAGTCTATTGTGCAAGAATTTTATGCTGCTTTCCCTAGGGTGGAGCCTAGAGAAAACCAACCTGTGCCCATTTGGCTAGATTTGTGATGATTATATGGGTATTTGTTGTTCTAATATTGACCCAAAGTTACACAGCCAGTCTGACATCACTGTTAACTGTTCAACAACTTCAGCCAACTGTTACAGATGTAAAGGATCTATTGAGAAAGGGGGAAAACGTCGGCTACTTAACGGATGCTTATGTTTACGATATCTTGAAACAAGTTGGTTTTGATACTACCAAGCTTAAGGGTTTCAAAACAATGGAAGAAATTGATGAAGCTCTTTCAAAAGGAAGTGCAAATGGTGCTGCTGTTGTTGATGAAACCCCCAACATGAAGCTTTTTGTTGCAAAGTTTTGTTCCAAGTATACTATGATAGGGCCTATCTTTGAAACTGCTGGGTTTGCCTTTGTGAGATCTCTCTCCTCTTACATGTTCATGCAAGAAAATTTATATATCCTACAAGATTTCTTTGTTAACTTGATGATCGAGGTCACGACTTTGTAGGTGTTTCCAAAACATTCCCCTCTTCTGCCGGATGTTTCACAGGCGGTGCTAAACGTGACTGAAGGAGAGGAGATCCTGAACATTGAAAACAAATGGTTCAAGAAAGGGGACAATTGTGAGGATAACCCTACCCAAAAACTTTCCAACAAGAGTCTTGGCCTTGATAGCTTTTGGGGGCTATTCCTCATTTCTGGGGTGGCTTCAATACTAACCTTGAATTGCTAACTGTAGGCTGCTGTAGGCACAACTACAAATTTCGTTGACTTTGTACTTTGAATTATTCTTAGTACGGGTACATTTAAAAAAAATTGTTGCTAAAAAGTCTTCAACTTTCATTAAGTTTTGTTTTCGTCATACCAAGACTTGAACGTGTGCTGACTTGCATTGTGTGTTTTATAAAGAGATTCCATGGTCCAAGAGCTTTGAATTAAATATTTTTGGATGGAAGTGTGGTTCAAGGACCATCGTCCTACTTAATGTGAGTTTGAGATGGACTAAGAACTAGACCTGGAGCACCGTGGTTGCCGGGAAAGGGATCTTTTCAGTGGTTTAACTAGTCAAAGGATCATTGCTATACATAAATGAAATGCTTGGGAAAGTATCTAATAGGAAAGACAATAGGGCACACTATGTCCTTTTGGTAATTATGACTGCATTCATGATTGAAACCATGTAGCGTATTTGATGGATTGTTTAGCTATGACTTTCAAGGCCTTCAACCATCACCATCATCTCCATGTACATAAGAGTAAGTTTGTTTGGACAATTAGAAGGAATACTGGATTACCAAATTACGCAGCTTTCAAAATTTTCAAACATGGTCAAGAAAAACCCTCCCAACCTTGAGCTTCTTCTGTCTTATCTTTTTCTTCTTTCTTTGTTCATGGATTTCCTTGGCCATGGCACAAAACAAAACAATCCCAGTAAATGTAGGGGTTGTTCTTGATGACCTTAATTCAAGGAGTGGGAAGATTTGGTTGAGTTGCATCAAAATGGCCCTCTCAGACTTATATGCTTCCCATGCTAACTACAAAACTAGGCTGGTTTTGAAACGAGGGACTCCAAACAAAAGGTTGTGGGTGCAGCTAAGGCAGGTAATTCTCTCTCCTTTTGCAAGCATCTGCTCTTGTAAAGAATGCCAATGTTTCGCATTTTCGACGGTTTCTCTTTAATGTGATTTTCTTTCAATAACTCTGACAAATCTTCCTCTTGAGGTGGAGCCTAAGTTTTATTTATGTATTTTGCAGTCCAAGCTAATTTTAAATATAATCATCTCTTTTTCATTGAGCGCAGCTGTAGATCTAATAAAGAATGCAGAAGTGCAAGCAATCCTAGGACCAGTGACATCTATGCAAGCAGGCTTTCTTATTAACCTTGGAGACCAAGTTAATGTGCCCATCATATCATTTTCTGCAACAAGCCCTTCTCTTAATTCACTTCGGAGCTCCTACTTTTTTCAGTTTGCACAGAATGACTCATCCCAAGTGAAAGCCTTAAGCGCTATTGTAAAAGCTTTTGGAAGGCGGCAACTTGTGCCTGTCTACATAGATAATGAGTTTGGGGAGGGAGTCATACAATTTTTAACTGATTCCCTGGAAGAGGTTGATGCCCGTGTCCCCTGCCGGAGTGCCATTTCCCTGTCAGCCACTGACGGCCAAATTCTTGAAGAGCTGTACAATTTAATGACAATGCAAACTAGAGTCTTCATTGTCCACATGAGGACGGATCTATCATCCAGGTTATTTGCAAAGGCTAGAGAGGTTGGAATGATGACCGAAGGCTATGTTTGGCTCACTACTAATGGGATACCTAATGCATTAAGGTATCTAAATTCTTCAGTCATCAGTTCCATGCAAGGTGTTTTGGTATACAAACTTATGTTCCACAAACAGTAAAGCTTGAAGAATTCATGCCGCGGTGGAAACAACAATTCCAACAAGACAATCCAACCATCATTGATGCTTCATTGGATGATTTTGGACTTTGGGCTTGTGATTCTGCTTTTGCACTAGCCATGGCAATTGAAGAAGTTGGAACTGCAACCTTTGGCTTCCAAAAGACAAATGCTTCCTTCAACTCAGCAGTTCTTGAAAGTTTTGAGGTCTCTAAATATGGTCCAGAATTTTGCCAAGCCTTGTCAACTACAAGATTTGAAGGCATTGCTGGAGATTTCAGCCTTGTTGATGGACAACTTCAATCATCAAATTTTGAGATATTTAATATAAATGGTGGTGGAGCAAGAGGAATTGGATTTTGGACACCACAGAATGGACTGGTGACAAAATTGGGTTCATCAGCAAACTCAAGCATATTTTCAACTCCTAGGCGCAAACTTGGACTTGGACCCATTATATGGCCGGGAGATTCTCTCTGTGTTCCCAAGGGATGGGAGAACCCAACAAACGGCAAGAAGTTGAGAGTAGGAGTTCCTGTGAAGGATGGTTTTACGGAGTTGGATAAGGTAACGAAGGATCCTAGCACTAACATGACAGATGTGACTGGGTTCGGTATAGATGTTTTTAAGGCTGCAGTGGAAATGTTACTGTATGCTCTACCTTATGAGTTCATTCCCTTTGCAAAGTCTGATGGAACCAGTGGTGGCACTTACAATGATTTGGTCTACCGAAAATATCTTAGGGTAAAATACTTTGTTTTTCATTATGGACTTCATCCACATGTCATTTTCTGATTTAACTTTTGATTCAATTTCTTAATTTGAATGCTGAAAATGATTAACATGTATGTCAAATTAATTTACTACAGAACTTTGATGCTGTGGTGGGAGATACAACATTTAGAGGAAATAGGTCATTGTATGTAGACTTTACCATGCCATACACAGAATCTGGTGTAGTAATGGTTGTGCCAGTCATAGACATGAGAAACCAAAATGCATGGGTTTTCTTGAAGCCTTTGACATGGGACCTTTGGCTAACAACTTGTTGTTTCTTCTTCTTTATTGGTTTTGTGGTTTGGGTTCTGGAGCATCGAATCAATGAAGACTTCCGTGGCACTCCATCACATCAAGTTGGCACCAGTGTCTGGTTCTCTTTCTCAACCATGGTTTTTACAGAGTGTAATTCTCCATCACCTCTTTCATATTTAAAAGAAAAGATTTCAAGTATCCAATTAAAGTTGTTCAGTAAGTCATATTGATAATAACTTTAACAATTTTCTTTTCGGTACGTCTCGAATCTGCACTTTACAGGAGAGAGAGTGGTTAGTAACTTGGCCAGATTTGTGATGCTAATACTGACTCAAAGTTACACGGCTAGTCTAGCGTCACTATTAACTGTCCAGCAACTCCAGCCTACTGTTCCAGATATAAAGGATGTTCTAAGGAATGGGGATAACGTGGGCTTCACAGAGAATATTTACATCAACGAACTCTTCAAACAAGTAGGTTTTGATGATTCCAAGATAAAGATGTTTTGATCTTTGAAGAGTGTAATGAACTTCTTTCGAAAGGAAGTGCAAATGGTGGTATTGCTGCTGCTGTTAATGAAACACCCCCAGCATGAAGCTTTTTCTTGCAAAATATTGTACCAAATGTACCATGATCGGACCCCCTATTTAAAGCCGCTGGATTTGGTTTCGTAAGATCTCTCCCCTAGTACACAGAGCAATTGGCTAAAGTATTTCTCATAGTTGCATGCTTGAATTCTTTGATGCAGTAATTCTCTGAGGTGACTTCCTGCAGGCCTTTACGAAGCGTTCTCCTCTTATACCCGATCTTTCACAGGCAGTCCTAAATATGACCCAAGGAGAGGTGATAATGAACATTGAAAACAAATGGTATAGTGTAGAAAAGAATTGTGTAGATAACTCAAACCCAAAGGTGGCTAGCTACAGTCTTGGCCTTGCTAGCTTTTGGGGCCTCTTCCTCATTGCCGGGGTGGCTTCAATACTAGCTCTCATCATATGTGTAGCTTCCTTCCTTCACAAGCATAGACACATCTTGATGCACCCTGATGATTCAAGAGCCTCTAGATGGAGAAGGATTCGAGCCATGTTCAAGATGTTCAACGAGAAAGAACTCAGCTCTCGTATGTTTAAGAGCCCTCAACAGAGAGATGGCATTGCTGGTGCTGGTGGTGAGGTTAATGCTGCTGCTTCACCAAACAACAACTGGCCAGAAAGTCCACGCAGCTATATTTCGAACCACGCAGACTTTGCAGAGCAAGCAACACCATCTAATGGTCAAGTATCTCCAGAAATAGTTTCAGCTGTTAACCATGAGTATCACAATTGCAAGAACTTGCTGAAGCAGCTTAATAATACAGTTAATATAAATTTTCCCACTTCTGGTGTGACTTGTATACCCAAATATCATCCATGATTTTGTATTGATACATTAAGTCAGATGGTCTTGTTATACAGAGTCTCCTGGGAAAAGAAGCATTGTATATAACTTCTTTGAAGAAAAAAAGAGACTCCTGTTTGGCCTGTGGAGGGTCACCTGCCAATGCCGAACGCGGAAAAAGAGTGGTGGCGAAAAACAGAAAAGAACAAATACGAGGTTTTGATGACTTCAAGCTTCAGGTTTTTAAATCTGTGGAAGAATGTGATAAACTTCTTTGAAAGAAGGCGAGTGAATGCAAATGATGGCATTAGATGGGTTCACATGATTGATTTCTTAAAAAAAAAAATTAAAGGAATGAGTTTGGCCTTGCATTGTTAAATGATGGTAAACAATTATATTATAATGAATGATCTATGAAGTTTCCTTCCCTCAGCCTATGCGCCTATTGACACCTACTTTTTGCACACTTTTTGAATTCAATTTTACAGAGGAGAGAGTGGTTAGCAACTTGGGCAGATTCTTGATGATAATATGGGTATTTGTTGTGCTAGTACTGTCACAAAGTTACACAGCTAATCTAGCATCACTATTAACAGCTGAACGACTCCGGCCAACTGTCACCGATATAAAGGATCTTATAAGGAGTGGGGATAGTGTCGGCTACATGAAGAATTCTTTTGTTCATGAACTCTTGAAACAAATTGGTTTTGATGAGTCCAAGCTTAAGGCTATGACTTCCTTGGAAGACACTGACCAAGCTCTTTCCAAAGGGAGTGAAAAGGGTGGTATTACTGCTCTTGTTAATGAATCCCCCAACATATAAAGCTTTTTCTTGCAAAAATTGTTCCAAATATACCATGATTGGTCCAATCTTCAAAACTGATGGGTTTGCCTTTGTAAGATTTCTCTCCTTTTATACACTCACAGACAGATAACACATGCAAGCAAATGTGGGTTCATTTTTTCTCATATGACTTCTTTGGTACGATTTTGCAGGTGTTTCCAAAACGTTCCCCTCTTGTACCAGATATTTCACAGGCAATCCTAAACGTGACTGAAAGAGAGAAGACAATGAACATCGAAAACAAGTGGTTCAGTCGAGAAGGCAATTGTCAAGATAACTCTGGTCCAAGGGTTTCGAGCAACATTTTTGGGCTTGAAAGATTTTGGGGCCTATTCCTCATTGCTGGGGTGGCTTCAATTCTAGCTCTCATTATCTTTGTAGCTTCCTTCCTTTACAAGCAGAGGCATATCTTGAAGCATGCTGGGGTTCAAGCCATGTTCGAAATTTTCAACGAAAAAGACATCAACTCCCATGCATTCAAAAGCAGTCCACAACGAAATGGCAGTGCTGGTGATCAAGTTGAAGTAAAAGCCTCACCTAATAGTAATTGGCCTGAAAGTCCATTCAGCTATTCGAACCACACAGATAAGGACTTTGTATTCCTTGATGGGCAAAAAACACCATCAACTACTAGCCATCAAAAGTTTAAAACGAATCAAAAGTTTTCAAAGAAGCCAAGAGCTAGCCAGCCAGTCTTGAATTCCTTCCATTTGATTGTTTTCATGAATTTTACATTCTTCTAGTAATTAATCCATTCTTGTGTTGTGTAAATTCAGCGTTCATGAGTATATATATATATATATATATATATATAATATTATAGACTCAACCATTCTTAAAATTAAAAACCAAATACATAATCTATTCAAGTGAGAGTTTTTTAGTATTGGATGACCTGCAAGTGATTAAAAGTTAGACTAATTTTCTAAAGAAAAAAAAACACATCAGGCTTATAGATTAATAACAAGATGTTGAAACATAATGATAGATCAACAATAGAGTCTAAATACCTTGGTGACACATACGTACCTAATAGTTCGTTAGAGCTTAGATTTATGTCTTGCAATGTAGACAAGTTGAAGATAGTCAAAGGTATGGTACCTGTATAAAATAACTTTTATATGTTTTTAGCTAAAATGGAGAGCATGATTGTGGATACTCTAATTGCAAACACTACTTAGAGATAGTTTTCCCTTCAATTTCATCGAAGACTTTGAGCTTGTGCTAAGAAGAAGACCAGAACCCGCTAGTCTTCTAAATCACACTAGTAGAGGAGATGAAACGCTTCTAGAAGACCACGGCCAACCGCAAGTTTTATTTATTTTTTCACTCCATTTACATGAAAAATAAAAAGACAATAAGATAGATCATTTATTTTTAGAAAAATTAGTGTTTACCCACAAAAAACTTTAGTAATTAGCATTTGATACATTACCTATTTTTGTTTTGAATAAAGTGGATGAGTTTTAAATTTTATTTTGTTAAAGACCAATTAGTAAGCCCATGTGCTAAAAGCATGATTAATATAAGAATTACATTTACATTTTTGACATTTTCTAATATATTTTTTCCACGGTGATATTAATTACAGTTGAGTACCTTGTAGTTATACCCAGCGGCGGATCCAGGAATTTTTCAGCGGAGGTGCAATTTTTAAAAGCTAGCTAAAAAAAAAATATGAAAAAAAAGGGACAACTAAACATCCTTATCATTTAAACAATACTAATGTTATTCATAATTAATTAAAAAAAATAACATTACAATTAACCTACAATTGTTGCCGACGAGGTTTCATATCATGAAAACGTCGCATTATATTTGCATTACTAATACAAGAAAAAACATCTTTCTCAATGTAAACAACTAAGCTATCACTCAACCATTGATTCCCCATTTTGTTACGCAATGGTGTTTTCACAATATTCATATATAAAAAAGCTCTCTCAACCGAAGCAGTTTCAATGGGTAAAACTAAAGCCAATGTAAGAAGTAAATACACGTAGTTATATATTATATTCCTTCTTGTATTCACCAATTTTTCAGCCAGATCAGTAATTCCGTTCAATGATGAAAACTTTGTGCTGCTCTGCATATCAACAATATAAAGTCCAAGTTGATCTTCAAGCTTCATGAGTCTCTTTACTATGAAGACAAAATGCAGCATCTTTCTCTTTACTATACTCCAACCAAACAAATGAATCAAACCATTTCACAAGAAAACGTCGATTACTCTCCCCCATAAGTGTTTGAAGCATGTCGTTTTGGCTTTTAGGCTGACAAGGACCCCTTTGCAGATAGGCTATTCGGATTTGTTCTCGAAAATTGGGATTATAGTAAGTCATTGGAGGTCTAAGTCCAGGGTCTGCAGGAAGATTAGCCAATATTTCATCCAACTCAGTGACCTCCGATCGTTTTGGACTACCCGAATTATTCAAGGGAGGATGTGAAGTAGGCGGATTATTTGAAGGTTGATTTGAACTAGCCGGATTATTTGAAGGAGGGTTTGAACTAGCCGGATTATTTGAAAGATGATTTGAACTACTCGGATTATTTGAAGGAGGATTTAAACTCTTTCTCTGAAAGTACTGTTCCATAACTGTACAATTAAAACAAAATAAGGGTTTTATATCTATTACTATGACTAATTGATTATAATTTATCAAATAAATAAAAAAACATCAAATTCTCAATTAAATAAATAAATAAAAATTAATTATACCTCGAATAACGTGTCACGTAGCCTGGTATTCACTCGAGTTTGCTACTGATCTTACTAATACAGAGAGAGCTAAATAACCACACACAAAAAATATATTAAAAAAAGAATAAACAAAATTGGAGTTTGCTCAAAGAAAAAAAAAATGCATTCAACTTACTTTGGATTGGCCTACTCAAGAAGGAAAAAAAAGACAAGATTCTTGTGATGAACACACTTTGATGAAATTGGGTGATGTTAAATTGGTCTTTTATAGAGAGAATTCCCAATCCTACTTAATTAAGGAATTTCCAAAACCCAATTAAATAAAGAGAACTCTAAATTAAAACTCAATTAAGTAAGGAAATAAAACCATTTGAAAAATCGTTTTGGACTACTCGAATTGTTCAAGGGAGGATGTGAAGTAGACGGATTATTTGAAGGTTGATTTGAACTAGCCGGATTATTTGAAGGAGGGTTTGAACTAGCCGGATTATTTGAAAGATGATTTGAACTACTCGGATTATTTGAAGGAGGATTTAAAGTCTTTCTCTGAAAGTACTGTTCCATAACTGTACAATTAAAACAAAATAAGGGTTTTATATCTATTACTATGACTAATTGATTATAATTTATCAAATAAATAAATAAACATCAAATTCTCAATTAAATAAATAAATAAAAATTAATTATACCTCGAATAACGTGTCACGTAGCCTGGTATTCACTCGAGTTTGCTACTGATCTTACTAATACAGAGAGAGCTAAATAACCACACACAAAAAATATATTAAAAAAAGAATAAACAAAATTGGAGTTTGCTCAAAGAAAAAAAAAATGCATTCAACTTACTTTGGATTGGCCTACTCAAGAAGGAAAAAAAACACAAGATTCTTGTGATGAACACACTTTGATGAAATTGGGTGATGTTAAATTGGTCTTTTATAGAGAGAATTCCCAATCCTACTTAATTAAGGAATTTCCAAAACCCAATTAAATAAAGAGAACTCTAAATTAAAACTCAATTAAGTAAGGAAATAAAACCATTTGAAAAGCCAACAAAAAAAGCCCACGTTTACAGCATCAGTTTCCGTTTTTTTACTTTTTTTTATTATTTAAAATCCCTGGTCCAAAACGACGTCGTTTTGGCCAGGCTTGGTTAAAAAAAAACATGCGCGCACAGCAGCATCGCAGGCAGCGCCCAGTCTCTTGTGCATTTCATCGAACACCTTATGTGTGTCGCTGGTCTGAAGCAGAGGTGCAACTCCAGCACCTCTAATGGAGATTTCCGGAAACCGGAGGTGCAGGTGCACCTCCATGCGCCTGCACAAATCCGCCAGTGGTTATACCCTTAAGACATGTTAGTCCCTATCTTTTCAATTTTACAATAACATACCCCGGTCTTTTAAATTTGTTACAATACGGTTCAACCGTTTGGTTATTCCCCGTTAGTTGCCTACGTGGCACTATGGGTCCCACATATTTTTATTTTTAAAATTTTAATATGAACAAAATATTTAAAAACTAAATAAAAAATCTCTCTCTCTCTCTCTCTCTCTCTCTCTTTCTTGGTTTTGCATTTTTCTCAGTTTCTCCAGAAAATCCATGGACAACAATCAGCCCAAAAGTCCTCAGACCTTCAACAAAAAAACCTCCTTTTCACTTAAATTTTATCCTTTGTTTTCACCGCCAAAACCCAGACACCATTAACAACCCTGTCAACCCAATATGAACCAAAACCCAGCTCAGAAGCCCCATCTTCATAAACCCAACTCAAGTTATTTACAGAAAAACCTAGAGGAGCAGGATTCATGAGGAAATCTGGAGAAATCGGGAGGAAGAAAGGAGGAAGAAGTCGAGGCTGGAAAGAAATCGCGTAAGGATGGGGGGAGAAGAAATGGGGAGGAAGAAAGAGGGAAG